CTGAGCGGTGGGTGTTGCCTTCTGACACACTTCCGGTGATGTCAGGGGGTGTGGCATATGCAAATAAGGTACGCTAATGAGTTATGCTAATGAGCTCCTGCACCTCTATTTCTACAAAATGACCCCTGGGCTTGCCCAAGGTCATCCAGCAGCTGCAAGTGGAGGAGTGGAGAATCAAACCTGGTCCTCCCAGATTAAGAGCCTTAACCACTACACCAAACTACACTTAACCGCTACACCAAACTGGCTCTCAGGAGAAGGGCCCAGGAAAAGCAGACTGGATAAAGGTCATAATCAGATAAAAGTCATGATCAGCGCCATCCCCCACCATCTACAGAGGCAGCAATGCCAGGACCAGTGGCATACAGCGGGTGACATGTAACTAGGGTGGCCAACCACCAGCCTGGAGGCCTGGAGCTCCCCCAGAATTACAACCAATCTCCTGACGGCAGAGATCAGTCCCCCTGGAGAAAACGGCTGCTTTGGAAGATGGGATTCTATAGCATTATACCTTTCCCAGTCTCCACTTCCGAATCTCCAGGTATTTCCCAACCTGGAGTTGGCAACCCGAGATATAACCCATCAAGAGCCAGTGTGGTGTGGCAGTTGGAGTCCTGGGGTAAGATCTGGGGGATCCAGGTTCAAATCTCCACTCTGCAATGGAAGCTTGTTGGATGACTGTGATGGGTCAGTTACACACACTCTGCCGGACCTCCCCCACAGGGTCGTTGTGAGGACAAAGTGGAGGAGAGGGGAATGAGGTAAGCCGCTTCCGGTCCCCGCTGGGGAGAAAGGCGAGGGGTATGAACGAATGAAATAATAAATAATTATTTCTCTAATGAATCCCGCCTCTTTGTATTACACGAAAACAACTCTGCACCGTTTCTGCTACTCGCGCTTACGTTAAGAAGAGGAGGAGGTTGGATTTATACCCCGCTTTTCACTACCCAAGGGAGTCTCAGAGCGGCGTACAAACTCCTTTCCCTTCCCCTCCCCACAACAGACACCCTGTGAGGCAGGTGGGGCTGAGAGAGCTCTGACAGAAACGGCTCTTTTTCAAGGACAGCTCTTATCAGAACTACGCCTTGCCTGAGGTCATCCAGCCAGGTGCAAATGAAGGAGTGGGGAATCAAACCCGGTTCTCCCAGACTAGAGTCCGCGCACTTAACCACTACACCAAAGGGGTGGGGGGGAGAAGAGGCCATTTACCAGGTATCTTTGTAACGACGCCTTCACACTTTCAACATCGGGCCTGGGCGGTATCCAGTTGTCGGTGATTTCCGCTATCTTGTGCAGCCAACGGATCAGCTCTTCTAGTCGACAGCAAAACACCTTAGAAGATGGATCGTAAGGAGGGAGCTCGATTAGCAGGGCTGCCTGTTCTGGGATGGGAAACACCTGGAGATTTTGGGGGCGGAGCCTGGGGAGGGCGGGGTCCGGGGAGGGGAGGGGCCTCAGTAGGGTATAAGGCCATAGAGTCTCCCCTCCAAAGGAGCCATATTCTCCGGGAGAACTGATCTTTGCCGCCCAGAGATCAACGGTAATAGGAGGAGAGATCCAGATGCTACTTGGAGTCTGCCAGCCCTACTGATCAGCAACGACGTGATTCGGCTGTGAAGCTGCTAACTCGGATCTACCCGTTTCCCACTTTAAGGCCACAAATACAAGACCTCGGCCACAAAGACAGAACTCAAAAAGTTGCACATGCTGTTTCCGGGAAGGACTTGCGATATATTTGTTGGTCCGAATGAAAGCTATTACACTGGGTCTTGACAAATTTTTCTTCCGCTCTAGGAGCCAGACCCAAAATTTAGGGCCCAGGCTCATTTTTCAGCTGCCGTGGGTTTTTATATCGTAGTGACAATATTTTCTCTCGGAGGGCTACCACGGAGTCTATGAAGCCCTTCGCAGTGTCTTCTAATTCTAGCCAAGCTATAATATGATAAAGCGTTGTTGTATATATATAAATATAGGGGTAACCCTGGCCGTCGCCATAGGAAAAACCACAAAGCAAAATCACTGCTGAAAATACTATGCGCTACAATGTCATTTCTAGGCGCCACGGCAACCCGCACCTGGGATTTGTCAAGATCTGTAATTAACGCTGTTTTGTTTTAAATTTTTTGGCTCAACCTGGCTCCTCACAGACTGTTCTCTGGGTCAAGTTTGAGTCCGGTGGCACCTTTAAGGCCAGCAAAGTTTAATTTTGGGTATCAGCTTACGTCTTCAGATAACAATCAGACTCTTAGAAGACGTGTGCACTCATATGAAAGCTTATACCCAGAATTAAACGTTGTTGGTCTTAAAGGTGTAACTCATTACAAATACTTGGCGGGCATCAGGAAAGGTGTTTAGGGGATCCCACGACACCCAAGGGCAGGGCTCTTTTTGTAGAAAAAGCCCAGCAGGAACTCATTAGCATAGTAGGCCACATCCAACAACAGAAACTCATTAGCATATCCAGCCACACCCATGAGAGCATAGCTCATTAGCACATTAGGCCACACCCCCATGTTGCCAGACGTGTGGTCATCCAGCCGCACCCACCTTTTGCTTGTTATTCTGTTTACCTTGTTTGTTGTCAAAACCCAGGGCTTTTTTTGTAGCAGGAACTCCTTTGCATGTCAGGCCACACACCCCTAATGTAGCCAATCCTAATGAGTTTCTGCCGTTGGGTGTGGCCTATTATGCTAATGAGTTCCTGCTGGGCGTGGCCAACTTGGGAGCCGGCCGGAACTCCGTTCCTGTGCGTTCCTGCCCCAAAATAGCCCTGCCCGTGGGCATCATGTTGGGGACTCCTGAAATAAATGATAGGATAACACCAGACATCGTAACAAATGAGAACCCCACCAGTACCCCCCCAAGAGCGCTTTCCATCCAAGCACGGTGAGATACAACGAGTATGAACCTGTTAAGATTCTGACAGGAATGCTAAAACATACCTTAATATGATGCGCAAGAGAGTCCCTGTCATAGCCCTCCTCCTCCTTCTCACGCTCGCTTCCCGTCTCGAAGCATTCTGTCCCTACAAAATCCCTCGCGTCAGTGCTGGTAGTCTCTCCGTGCGCGTTCGCACAGTCCTCACAGCCCTGGTTGCTCAGCAAGTCCTCTTCACTGCATTCCCGGGAGCTATCCGCACGACGAGAGTAACAGTCTGTTTCTTGCTGGCTGCCGTCACATCCACAAACCTCCAGTGGGAGGTGCTCTCCATTCCCGCCGACAGATGGGAAGCCATCGTCTTCTTCGGGTTGCCTGATCATTAGCGAGAGATCCGTCAGCTGCTGAGCCAACCTCTCTAACTCCTTGAGTCGCGGCGGAAGGGGGAGATACTCCTCGTCACTACAACAATCAGGCTGTAAAGACAACATTCTTGTGGAGCGTAGGAAGGTACCGACAGCTGCTCTCCTTAACACACAGTCATGCTCGTTGGTGTCCCTTGTATTACAGTTGTTATATCTCGCCTCCCAGCGTTGCTTCCCTATGTTGGTTGAATCAGACGAACTGGGTCCCGGCGCCAGCTCGCTAGAAAAAATGGTTCTACCAATAGGACTGCCATCTGCAAAGGATACTTTCCCAATTGGAGAAAGTCCGTAGTGAGACACTGGAGCCGAACATTTGGGCTTTTTCGACAAGGGGGTCCGAAAACTCTGCACGGTCTGGTCCCCCGTAGTCCGATGTTCTGGGCCCGGCACACTCGTGGACTTCAAGGTACTCTCGGGTGAAACGGAAAGGCTGTCGAGGTCGATCCCCGAATCGTGGATGGAGGAATCACGTATTCCATACTTGAGATCCTTGGCAAGTTTGTATTTCGGCCTGATCGGATAGGTATAATCAAGCAAGTCCTCGTACTCTTTATTGGGGTCCCAGTGGGGGGACTGGCGGTCTGGCGATGGCGGAAGGCAATCCGGTATTGCACACGCCCAATAATCCGCCTGGAAGGAAGACATCTTCCTTACTTGCCCGGTCGGTGGACAGCCATCCGCAGTCATTTGCTTGCGTGTGCCCATCACAGAGATGTCTTTGGGGTCAGACAGTCTGTGCAGACGCCAAGAAGGAAACACTTCAGAGGATGAAAGAGCCCCAGAGGCCAAGTAGCTTTTCGGCCTTGTCGGTTCATGCTGCTCAAAATCACTATCCTCAGACAGTTCGGGGGACAGGCTAGTTGTCGGGAATAACGGCATCGAGGCATCCAAAGGGGACGCTCTTTTCCCAGGCAAAGGTTTGGGAGTGGATGAATATGGGAATGCTATCTGGCTCTTACAGTCAGCCTTAAGGCTATGGAGGGATTCAACGGAGGTGCTGTAACCTTTAGAATCCATGGGGGACCTTGGAAGAACCACGGGGGGTTCCGATGCAACTGGAAGCAGCTGTGTAGAGTTTGAGCACTCGGCCGTTTTTATCTGCGCAAAACAGTTGAAACAAGACAGACACTTTATCAAGGTCAGCACAAAGAGGCTAACGAGATTCAGACTCGTTCACTTGGGTATTTATTTATTTACTTCGTTTATATTCCACTATTCTCCCCAGTGGGGACCCAAAGCGGCTTATATCATTCTCCTCTCCTCCATTTTATCCTCACAGCGACCCTGCGGGGTAGGTTAGGCTGAGAGTGTGTGACTGGCCCAAGGCCACCCAGCAAAATTCCATAGCAGAGGGGGGATTCGAACCTGGGTCTCCCGTATCCTAGTCTGACACTTTAAACCACTACCCCACACTGGTTCCACTGGTAAAGCCGGCTTCGTTTAGGTATCTTTTAGGCGGCATTCACAACCAATGCTGTTGAGTCTTGTGAGCAAAAATCCTACTTTGTGAGCCACTGGCATTAAAGTTGTGAGCGCGCGATTTGGCTGCTGCATAAATTAGTCAGCTCTGGAGCCCCTCCTTCCTGAGCTAGGACAAAAACGTGTGAGCCGGAGGCTAAAAAACTGGGAGCTAGCTCACACTGACTCAGCTTAGAGGGAACAATGTTCACAACTTAAGCAAACACAGTAACACGGTTCCATACAAGGCATATTTTCTGTCCTGGCTCCATAGGAGAGATTTCCGCAAACGGGAAGGGGAGGCTATTTTTGGTCATTTCCCCCTCCTACGGCAGACCTCCGACTCCCTCCCATGTTGTTTCTGGGGGAGGGGGGGATGTCTCCTCTCCCCCACATGGCATTTCAGGATGCAGAGTGAGGAGAGAGGTGGAGACGTTCAGCTCCAAAGGCTGAAATCCCTTCGATCCGCGGAAATCACCGAATCAAGCGAATATTCGGACACAGTTTAACAAGAAGCCTCAGTGGCTGATATCCTATTAAGATACAAGCTGATAACGCAGTTTCTCCCCGCCCCCTTCTCCAAAGGAGGAACAATTCCAGGAAGTTATGCGGCAAAACAGACCATCCTTTTGTTCCCATTTGCAGAGTTTACTGATTTTCAAAGGCAACACGTTCACAAAGACAGATTTCATCCATCTATCCAATAATCTGTTTTACCTATCCTCAGGAATCAGTGTCCCATTAACAACATTTTAAAGGAAACCGGGGGGGGGGTAGGAATGGGAGAAGAAAAGTTCACGATTAAGCCAGGATCACATTCCAAAAGGTGCATCAGACTTGTTTTGATCTCTTATTGAGTTGTGGCCATGGCTCAGTGGAAGAGCCTCTGCTCGGCATGCCAAAGGGCCCAGGTTCAATCCCAGGCATCTCTAGTTTAAGATGATCGGGTAACACATAACGTGAAAGACCTCTCCTTAAGACCCTGAAGAGCCACTGCCTGACAGAAGACACCGATGGATCAGTGGTTTGACCCAGTATACAGCAGCTTCGTGGGAAACGCTTCCCCAAAATTTCTTCTGGAAGTGCTCATCCAGAATTTATTTCATTTATACCCCAATGAAGACCCCAAGATGGCTTACATAATTCTCCTCTCCATTTTACTCTCACAACAACCATGTGAGGTAGGTTAGGTTGAGAAAATGTGCCTGGCCCAAGGTCACCCAGTGAGCCAGTTTGGTGTAGTGGTTAAGTGTGCAGACTCTAATCTGGGAGAACCGGGTTTGATTCCCCACTTCTCCACTTGCACCTGGCTGGATGACCTTGGGTCAGTCACAAGCTCTGGCACAGCTGTCCTTGAAAAAGAGCAGTTTGTGTCAGAGCTCTCTCAGCCCCACCCACCTCACAGGGTGTCTGTTATGGGGAGGGGAAGGGAAAGGAGTTTGTAAGCCACTTTGAGACTCCAAGTGAAGGGCGGGGTATAAATCCAATCTCCTCCTCCTCCTCTATGAGTCGGGATTTGTGAGCTCATGGCATTAAAGTTGTGAGCGAGCGATTTGGCTACCGCATAAATTAGTTTGCTCTGGAGTCATCCTTCCTGAGCTAAGACGAAATTGTGTGAGCCGGAGGCTTAGAAAACTGTGAGCTAGCTCACACTAACTCAGCTTAGAGGAAACATTGCACGCTATCCTTTCAGACTTGGCTACTCCCAAATTTAGGACCCTTCTAGATAGGGCACAAAGCGAACGGTCCACAGAAAATTAAGCTCAGCTGTTTATCCTGATGTTAAGTGCTACATGCACTATGTGACAGAGTTCGAGAATATTCCTCCTTAGTCGTACTTTAGCGGCACTGCCCAAATATTCCTGTTTTAAGATTTACTCACCTGCTGGTCTTTGGGGTATAAACCGAGTCTGCTAAAATCAGGAAGTACATCGTTGACGCAAGCGGTCTGGCTGAATAGCGGCTTTCTCTCCACGTATTTCGCTTTTCTCTCGCAAAACCTGTTAGGAGGCATTAAAGATGCTTTATGGTGGTTTGGATTCTTCGGGGAAAGGGCAGGAATGGTGCGACTGGCACCTTTTACAGCTACGGGCTTTTTGCCCTCAGTTCCTTCAGGCAAGGGTTTTTCATCCACCGTATCAGAGAACTGATGAACCTTCCTCACTAATTCGGGATCGTCCCACTCGATCTCACTGTAGTTCCACCTACCATAGCCCTTGGCTCTCACACTCAATGGAGCATCAAGAGGAGATTTTTCTGTATCCAGTGCCATCTATAAAGTGGGTTTCTCCTCCATCAGTGGTCAAAACATGCAGTTCTCGCAACCTGAAATTAAAACCGGCAGGTAATTACTGTTTGCCACAATTTTAACATCAAGTCAAGCATTCAATAAGCACCTATTTGAAAAGTGGATCCATTATTTCAGGGTCCCCAATCTTTCTGCGTTCCGTGCACCTCGGTGTTTAGTCATGCCGGCCACATGACCACGGAAACGTCTTCAGACAGCGCTGCCTCTTCGGCTTGGAAACGGAGATGAGCACCGCAACCCTAGAGTCGGATTCAAATGGCTTTCGAGCAAGGGAACCTTTACCTTTACTAATCTTTCTGAATCTGCAGGCCCCTTTGCAATTTTGAGATGAGGTGGGGGAGCAGTGTTCCCTCTAAGCTGAGTTAGTGTGAGCTAGCTCACAGTTTTTTAGCCCCCGGCTCACACATTTTTGTCTTAGCTCAGGAAGGAGGGCTCCAGAGCAAACAAAATTTAAGCAGCAGCCCGATCAGCTGCTCACAACTTTAATGCCAGCAGCTCACAAAGTAGAATTTTTGCTCACAGGATTCCACAGTGTAGAGGGAGCACTGGTGGGGAGAGCCACCCCAAAATGGTTGCCTCAGGAGGTGGAACCAAGTACAATACCAGCCTCCTTGCTTTGCAAAAGAATCACAGGCTGCGGTCACACGGAGCATTAGCCACGCTACAGAGACGGAAGATAGGCGGATTTTCCGGGCGTGATCACACCACAACATCTGGGAAGGGTAGAGCTCCCGTGGCGGACCCGAGGCTTCGCCCGAGGCTTCGCGCCGAAGATGCGGAGTTAAAAACTAGTACCTCTGAGGTACTAGTTTCCGAAAACCGCGGGGCAAGGGTGGGCGTCTGATCGCGTTTCCGGTGGTGGCATCCGGCGCCCGCCCATGTCCCTTCGCAAACAGGGTTTTCCCCCTCAAGTCTCCACAAGATGCGCACAAGCACCCAACGGCTCATGCGCACAAAGAGGAAAGCGAAAGTGCCGTTTTGGCTTTAAAACAAATAAATGACCCCGTTTGTCACGGCAGCGGCGCCTAGCCATTGCTGGTGTGATCACGCCGTGACGCTTCTTTGCTGCGCTGCAGGATCATCGTGTTATCGCCACCCTCGTTTACCCGCCGACGCAGAGGGACAGACCCGTGGTGTGCCGCCGGCGCGTCTGATCGCGTAATCGCGGATCAAACTGCGCCAGGGCAATTAGCCACGCCTCCCCTCCCACGATATCCGGCCCGGGTGACCGGGGCCACAGTAGGGCAATGAAAAGAAATAAAAGAAAGGCAGAGGGGGAGGGAAGCCATTGAAAACTCTTTCATTTGAAAGAGGGCAGCCACCAACAAACCCTGCCTTACAATGGCCCCACACACTTTCTGAAAAGCTTGGCGGGCACCATGTTGGGGAGCCATGTTCATTTGCAAGCAAGTAGTACCATTTTCAGTGGCATTTGCTTCCAAACAAGTGTGTATTAGACTGCATCCCCAGAGTTATTAAATTCAGGAGAATTTACCTAAGGTAGCATAGGGTGCACCAGTTCCCAACTCTTTTTCGAGAACTGGGTTATCCTGGCAATTTTTCATACAAAAACTGAAAATATATACATTTTTAAATTCCATCCCTAAACCAAATGGCATAGTTTTATATTGTTAACCGTCTACCTTCTAAGGCGTTTATTATGTACTTTATAATGCATTTTACTGTTCTGTTAAGCCTTTTTACCTTTATTCATAGGTGCTTTTTACTACTGAGTTTGTCCTGTTTCAAATGCCGACTGCTGGCTCCGGCCGTAAATAAAACTGTATCCTGCTGCTCAGCTGTTTATATGCTAAGTCATTAATGTGATTTACATGGTTCAATCTGTTAAATCAGTTTAGGTCTGATAGGAAAGTAGGAATTGCATCTATTTCGGTTTTACCCCCAAAATCTCCATCCCCTGCCCCAAGGCAAAACAGAAAGGGTTTTTTCCCCCCACCTGGGACCTGGAGATTTCCTGGAAATGCAACTGATTCCCAGGTGACAGATCAGCTCGCCTGGAGAAAACAGCAGCTTCAAGGGAAGAACTTTCTGAAATTACCCCCTGGTGACTTTCTTCTCCACACCCTGTCCTTCCCAGGCTACGAACCCCGGAAAATCTCCAGGAATTTCCCAACACGGAGTTGGCCCCTCCAATTATGCTGGAAGTCGTATTTTTGTAGTATGATAATGTCTCAGTGCTGCGCCCCTGAATAGATCATAAACATGACTCGCTACCGGGCCCTTCTCCCTCGGATTGCCTCCGGAACAAACACCACTCACAGGTTCATCCTTGGGAAATCCACGCAATCAAGTCCACCCCTCCTGGATCTGCTCACAGACACCTTCGCAAAGTCATCTTAAAAAGGGAAAGGGAAAGGTTCCCCTTGCTCGAAAGCCAGTCGAGTCCGACTCGAGGGTTGCGGTGCTCATCTCCGTTTCCAAGCCGAAGAGCCAGCGCTGTCCGAAGACGTTTCCGTGGTCATGTGGCCGGCATGACTAAACACCAAGGCACACAGAGCGCTGTTACCTTCCCACCGAAGTGGTATCTATTTATCTACTTGCAATTTCTTGCTTTCGAACTGCTAGGTTGGCAGGAGCCGGAACTAGAGACGGGAGCTCACTCCGTCATGCGGCACACTCGGGTCTCGAACTGCTGAACTACCGACCTTCCACAGCCTGCAGTTCAGCGTCTCAACCACTTGAACCACCGCAGCTCCCTAAAGTCATCTTAGCAGAGGACAAAACATCCTACCAGAGCTGGCCTTCCAATCCCCTCCCCTCTTCCCTGTGGCAGGAACGTACCCCGCAGAGTTCCTTCCTACCGAGGGCCACAGCCCATTGTATCCCTACAGGACAGGAAAAGCTTTGCTTCCGCTTTCCTGTACGAAACGGCTTCCAACAGTTGAGACCTCCATACAGGGAAAGAACAAAGGAACCCATAGGAAAATAAGCTCAAAAAGAAAAGAAAAGCAAACCAGGGAAGATACAGTAGAAAAGAGCAAGAGCCCAGTAGAACCGTAAAGACTAACAGAATTTGTGGCAGGGTGTGAGCTTTTGTGAGTCACTGCTCACTTCTTCAGACATGGCTAAAATGTGAGTCCATCTGTCATATAGCTTGTCCTATATTTGTCTCCGAAAGACTGCTGAATTGCAACTGATAATGCAGACTCCACAGCTTGGAGGGAGCGTTGGTAAGGAGACAGGTTAACTGTTGGATTTTGCAAATTCTCTCCCTGAAGTCATGGAAGAATTTACATGTTTGTTTAAAGGTAAAGGTTCCCTTGCTCGAAAGCCAGTCAAATCCGACTCTAGGGTTGCGGTGCTCATCTCCGTTTTAAAGCCGAAGAGCCAGCGCTGTCTGAAGACATTTCTGTGGTCATGTGGCCGGCATGACTAAACACCAAGGCGCACGGAACGCTGTGACCTTCCCACCAAAGTGGTACCTATTTATCTACTTGCTATTTCTTGCTTTCTTTAGGCATGCTGAAATCCTGGCTGTTTAGTGAGAGACCCAATCGCAGATTTTGCACGCACTTGCTGCCAGGGGAAGGTGCTAAAATGAATAGTTAGGTTTGGGATTCTCCAACTGGGTAACCAATAGATCAGAAGATGTCCCAGGGGTGGAGTCTTAGAAAGTTTATTGCTCTTTGTTCTAACTCTCCCCTGGGGCTAACACACATGGTTTAGACCATAGACCATGAGTGTCAAACATGCGGCCCGGTGTTGCCAGGCAAGCCTATCGATGTGTTTTTATGAACTGTGTGGACTGTGCAAAGGGACTGTATAACATGGAGACCTGGGAATACCTGTTAAGACTGCACACCTGAAAGAGGGACACCTTCCTTTAGTGTTGCTGCCACAGTGTTAGTCCAGAGTCATCAGACATCTCACCTGCTGTGAGATGAAGCAGTCCCATAAGCCTGTACACAGCCTCAGACGCCATGCCATGAAAAAACATGAGGACAGAGAACTCCAGACGCCATTAGGAGTTTCTTCCAGCACGTGTAGGCAACCCCCCCCCCTCCAAACCTGCAAAGCTGCCCGTAGCTCTGAGACTCTAATAACAGTTCCTTGGCAACCAATCGCTCAACCATCAGCAAGCCGGCTAGGGCCATTAAGAGACAATAGCCTTAACCCGATGACTCATCTTACCTGCACCCAGGTGCCAGCTTTTACAGTCTAAGTTTCTAACAGTCCAATGGAGCCTGAGTGGTGGGTGTTGCCTTCTGACACACTTCCAGTGATGTCAGGGGGTGTGGCATATGCTAATAAGTTATGCTAATAATTTTTGCTAATGAGCTTCTGCACCTCTTTTTCTACGAAATGACCCCTGCATACAAGTGTTCTGCTCCATTGGTTATCTCTGCTTTTTTACCATGAAATACCTCACATTAACCCCCGTCTCCCTCCCCACCTCTGTGTATACACCATCACCTCAGTCCAAATCAGGCCTCGCGGCACGGCCGTTCCCTCTAAAACCCCCAGAAAGATCCACACCCATCCTAGCTTGTCCCGAAGAATGACCAGCTGTTGTACCCGAGGCCCCCATCAACACAATCTGTGGGCCCAGACTGTCATTCTATTTTTATTCTTAAGTGTATCGAGTCAAAGCTTGTGACAGAAGCGAGTGAACATGATCCACATCAAGTGCCCCCGGACAGCAGGCCTCTTGAGTCGCATCAAGCAACCTTATAAACAAACTCAGATCACTGGAAGCAGGATAATTCCGGATGGCTAGCCATGTTTGTCCGTAGCTGCGAAATAAAACAGGGGGTCGGCGGCCCCTTCAAGACTGGGGACGTGGCTCAGCGGTAGAGCATCTGCTCGGCAGGTAGAAGGCCCCTGGTTCAGTTCCCAGCATCTCTAGTTAAAAGGATCAGGTGATGGGTGATGGGGAGAGAAGGTGACCTGGTCTCGTCAGATCCCGGAAGCTAAGCAGGGTCAGTACTTGGAAGGGAGACCGC